AAAGAAGCATTCCAATGATTTTCTCTTTATTGTTCCCCAAATGGAGCAGCTCACTCAGCTGTCAGACACTTCCCGGAACTTTAAAAGGCAAGGGGTGCAGCAGAGATCACAAAACACTGAGCACGGCAACCATTACGGGCATTGTAGGGTACTGGCAGAAGCCAGTTCTCTCCACAAAACAAATAAGAGTCCACACTGGCTCTTTGTTGACAATAAAGGCAGGGGAAAAGACAAAAGTTTCTCACAAAGCTGAAAGTTTGTCACCAGAACTAGGTGTTTTTCCCCAAAAAAAGCTACATTGTAGTGTAAACGCTTTCATTGTTTTGTTGCCAAAAGGTAATTTAGGGCAACAAAATGTGCCAGGGTAGAAAAGACCTGTGAGCAATAAAGAGCTGTGTGAGGATGATGGGAGGAGACCCAGAGACCAAAAGGTGAGAGTTCCCTTTGTTTGGGAAGCTGATTGCTCTGCTCTCCTTCTCAGCCTTCTATCAGAGTGGGGCAGACGGCTTCCCCAGGGGTGAGCTTTGAAGACCTGCTGGAGATGTGGCCCTGAGTGGCTGTAGCCTGCCTGAAGTCCTGAATGAGAACAGGAGTGGGCCAGTTCCTGGACAATGCTGTCTTTGGAGTTACAAGATGAGTAGCTGTGGAGAAGACTGTAACAGTTGAGGCATGTCTGTAAGGTAAAGGGGACCTGCTAAGCTGAAAATCTGATACTTTCGTTCAAAGATTATAAGGCCAGATGGGATCGTTGCAACTGTGTTGTTGGACCTTCTGTATCACACAGGCCATAGAACTTCCAAAATAATTCCTGAAACAAATCTCAACAAAACATTCATTTTTGATTTAATAAATGTCAGTGACGGAGAATCCACCATGTCCCTTGTTAAACTGTGCCAATGGTGAATGACTCTCACTGTTAACAATGGACACCTTGTTTCCAGTTTGAGTTTGTCTTCTCCTACTTCAAGCCATTGGATAGGGTTATACCCTTCTTCTCTGCTAGGCTCAAGAGCCCATTATTAAGTATCTGTTTCCCATGTAGGCACTTATAAGCTGCAATCAAGACATTTTTTAACCCTCTCTTTGCCAAGCTAAATAGACGAAGCTCTGGGAGTCTATCATTCTAATGCAGGGCTAGTCAACACGTGGCCCGTGGGTGGGATCTTTTGAACATGGCCTCCACTGGGAACATGTTCCACACTGACGAGGTGTCTCCCAGGCAGAGCGAGCATTGAAAGATGCAAGCAGTCTGGCTGGCTAGAACAGACAGGTACAGGGTGTCACCATTTCTTGCCCCCAGGGAGGAGCTGCCGGGAGCGCTGGGGCATTGTGGGAAATGCTGGCTGCTTAGCCTTGCGGGCAGAGCCTGAGAGGTGCTGACTGGCTCACACTGGCCATGTTTGGGTCTGGCACTTCGGCTTAAGCTTTGTATTCATGCCTGTCAGTGTGAAAGGTATTTGCATATATATTTGCACGTATATGCAACCACACTTAAGTTGTGGTCCTCAGCATGTGGAACAGCCCTGTTCTAAGGCATGTTTGCTAATCCTGTGGATCAAATCAAACTAAAACAGTTGCAGGTTCTGCCAGCTGAGGCCTAAAGTTTCTGCCAGTACTGCAGTGGGAAGCTCAGAGGCCTATTTCAAGGCAGATGGTACTAAAAAATCTGATCAGCAGGCCCAATTGAAAAGATTCTCAGAAAGACAGGAAGATGTAAAACTCTGGTCTTCAGAGGATGGAGAAGATTACAAAGGGAGAAATTCCTGTCTGGATCTAAGTTTTGAAGTCCAGACGTGTTATTGGCACTCCAGTCTTCTCAACCCCAGTGGAATCACTGTGGCAGATATGAGACAAGAGTGTGCCTTAAGAGTGTGTGGCTACATGGGCTGTTTATGACTGGGTTTGTGGCTTGGGATGCTCCTTACAGATAGTGGCCTTGAGTTGTGAGCAAACTATATGAGGAAGTGAATTTCCATCTGTGGAAAACCAGTGGTTATCAGTCCATATACCTCTGTGCATGGAGAGACTGAGTGTACCCCATGGCTGTGGTGGTATTAGAAGTACAAGGCCAGCATGGCTAAGTGAGGGCCACAATGGTGAGGAACCTTCTATGGCCCATAATTTTGGGCAGAGGGCAGAGACTAGCGAGGATTCCCAGCCCTGATGCAGCAGAAGACAGTTTCTGAGCCAGCAGAGGGAAAACTTACTCCGGTTCTAGAGAACATATGATCAGTGATGTTTGGCCCTTCTGGGTACGCAGAAGAGAACTGGAGGGACTTGTTAGATTTGCCAGAATGATGAGGAAACTAGAAAAGAAACTCAGATGTTGTCACAGGCTAGAGGAACACCTACGAGAAGCTGACTAGGAGCTGGAAGAAGTAAATGCCTCCTGGCAGGAAATACCAGGAATGGAAGTTGGGCTGGAACCATGTACTGTGGGGATACAAATCAGTCCCCCTCTCTCTCTTCCCCCCTGTAGAAGCAAAGGAGTTTTGATAGCAATACAGCATCAATAGATGGGGGAGTAGACAGGACTCAAGCCCAGTTGAACAAGTCAGAGGCCCTGCCAGCAGAACTATTTAAGGGAATGGTGATTGAGGAAGCAGTGACAGAAACAACAAAGCTACAGGAAAAGTTGACAAAGGTGGAGCAGACTCTGCAAGAGGCTCACCAAGAAAAGGAAAAAGGGGGGCTGGAATTCCATGCAGAGCTCTTGGAAGGGGCTCTCTGGAAGAAAGAAATTATCTATTGGCATTGTAGTATGAAAAGGATAAGAAGCAGGGCAAGATGGGCAACTCCCCCCCCCCTCCAGCCCACACTCCTATCAGGATTATAAAACCCTGCTTTAATGGCTACTGCCTGTGTCCTTATGTTGTGTTTGTCTACTGTAATTAGCATATTCTCTGTTACTAATAATACATTCAAATAAATGTTATTTTTTCCTAAGTAACTTCCTCTTTCCCCACTCCTGCCCCAAAGATTTGTGTAACTAATAACATGCAGTTTGTTGCTAGTACTCTGGGTATTCTGCAGTTTGTGGTCTAGCCGTTCCCCCACTCTCTGTCTGCCTTTATCTTGTCTCTTTCCATTGTAAGTTTCTTTTGGGCACTACTCAGTGTTGGCATCCTGCCTTCCATAGGGGCCCTATCCGTGGTGGGCCCTCAGGCACTTCTGGGATAAACATGATTAATCAACAAATACTGGCTGATTAATCACTTAATACTGGTTTGCAAATAAATAGGCAAGACTCTCAAGCCTTACCCCCTCTCTAAGACTCTACTACTGGGGTCACTGGGAGTAGCAAGAGTTTTGAATATGGAAACTTTTTATGATACATAGTTTCAAAGAGGCAGCCATGTTAGTCTGATTCAGCAAAAATAATGAGTCCGGTGGCACTTTAAAGACTAACACATTTAGTAGGGCATAAGCTTTCATGAGATACAACTGGGAAGCTTATGTCCTAATACATTTGTTAGGCTTTGAAGTGCCACCGGACTTCCTGTTTTTTTTTATGGAAAATGTTTCCTTCTCTTGCCCGGTCAGCACTTTGCAGAAAGGGGAAAAACAGAATGGCCCAAACCCATTTCTCAATGGTCAAACTTAGAGGTCTCCCACTCCCGCCTTGACCCAACCTGATCCTGCTTAGCTTAGGCAAGCCGGTGAGCTAAACAAGCTGCCAGCCGCCACTGCTGGTACTGAGCAAGCACCAGACAAAACGTCACATGGTGACCCGGGACTGGAGCGGGGGGGGGGGGGGGGGAGGGAGTTGACTTCCCAGGTCTGGTTAGTGAGGAGCTGGGGTGTAACGAGCCCCGGGGGCCTCTCCCGGCTGGGCACGCGACTACAGCCCCGCCCGGCGCCTCTCCCAGAGCCAGCAGCTGGGCAGGCAGCTCCCAGGTTGCAGTGACCCACGGTCCCCCCCTACCCGCGGGGAAGGCACGTTAAAGCGAAGCAGGCAATGGCTCCGCTCCTCCGACCGCCCGGCTCCCCCCCGGCCCCCCCACGGCGCGTTTCCACCGGCGGGGAGCAATTAGCTCCCGAGCCCCCGACAGAGGCCAGGCGAGCTGTGGGAACCCGCTGCCTCCCGCCCGCCCGGACGCCCCGCGGCCAGACAAAGCTGCTCCCCCAGTCCCCGCCCCCCGCCAGCATCAGGGCGCACAATGCCCCGGTCTCCGCACACACTGGCGTGAGCGCTAGCCCCTCCCGCAGCCCCCGGGCAGCAGATCGCTGCCCCCCTCCCGCAGCCCCCGGGCAGCAGATCGCTGCCCCCCTCCCGCAGCCCCCGGGCAGCAGATCGCTGCCCCCCTCCCGCAGCCCCCGGGCAGCAGATCGCTGCCCCCCTCCCGCAGCCCCCGGGCAGCAGATCGCTGCCCCCCTCCCGCAGCCCCCGGGCAGCAGATCGCTGCCCCCCTCCCGCAGCCCCCGGGCAGCAGATCGCTGCCCCCCTCCCGCAGCCCCCGGGCAGCAGATCGCTGCCCCCCTCCCGCAGCCCCCGGGCAGCAGATCGCTGCCCCCCTCCCGCAGCCCCCGGGCAGCAGATCGCTGCCCCCCTCCCGCAGCCCCCGGGCAGCAGATCGCTGCCCCCCTCCCGCAGCCCCCGGGCAGCAGATCGCTGCCCCCCTCCCGCAGCCCCCGGGCACAGGCTCATTAAGCGCTGCCCAGCACCTCCCCTTCTCCACAACCACATTTCGCCCCGGGCGCGCTGCCCGCAAGCCAAGCCGCGGGCCCTGAGGCGACCAGACGTCGCTGAGCCGAGGTAGAAGGGCGGGAGGAAGCAGAGGGGTGATTTGTGCGCTGGGTTTTCCCGGGAGAAGAGGCGTGTGCAAGCGGATCCGGAGCAGAGGCAGGGGGTGGGGACGGAGGAGGAGGAGGAGGAGGGGGGCCGGGGGCGCCTCCCTCTCCCTGGGCTGTTTTTTTCAGTTTCCTGTCTCGCCTGGTGCGCACGGCGGATATGTGCAGCGCCTACAGGTGTGTCTCTCCCTCCCTCGCAGCTCCTCTGGCTCCCCGGGGCCGGCGCAGGCGGCAGGAGCGCGTAGGGGGAGGCGGAGGCTCGGGCTCATCATGTGATGATTAATTGGGCGCTGGGTGGTTCCTCTCGCTCTTTCTCTCCTGCTCCCGGCGCTCAGGCTGCTTGTTCTCCCGGCGGCGGCGGGCTGCTCGGCTCTTTGGGAAATGGGCAGCGAGGGGGCTACTGTGGTTGCGCGCTGGCTCGGGGGGCTGCTCTGATATGGGAGGAGCCGGAGCCGCGGCAGCCTGAGCTCAGATCGGCGGCTGAGCAGCAGGGCGCAAAGGCGCTGCCCAGCCCTGCTTTCCAACTTGGGTAAGTTTGATTTCCCTTCCCCCGCGGCCCTGGGGATTGTTCCCCACGGCGGCTCCACCTGTTGAAGGCCGAGGGGCCCCTTTGGGCTTGCTTGCTTGTGTGAGAGGGGAAGGCAGCACAAATTTGGGGCTAATCAATCAGTTTTCCCTTCGTGAAAGCTCTGTCTCCTAATTGCCTGTATGGCAACTTCCACGGTTCCGCAGCAAGCATGTGGTTCACCTCCGGGAAAGGGAGAGGTGAGGCACAACGCGCAGACGGCTCTCGGATCAGACCCAGCTTGAATCTCGCTAGGAAAGAGTCAAACTTTTAGAATTAGCTTTTGAGTTTGTTCTTCATTCTCTCTGACCAGCATATGGCTTTCATTAAGGCAAAACCCAGGGCTTCCTAGACTATGTGGCTTTGCACTTTACGCTTCTTAGCACTACAGTCTTAAAACCTGAAAACTTTCCTTTTCTAAATACCGATGTAGTGACCGGCATGGATTGTGACTGTATCAAGCCCAATGTGAGAGAATTCACACAATACGAATATTAGAATAGCAAACGAAACTACGATAAAGTGATCTTACTCAGAAAGTTGAGAAGATTCTTCTTGTCCAGAAGGCTATTTAGCTCCAATCTTTTGGATGTATAATACGTTGGATAGAATATATAATACAGTACATTATTGTTCCCAAGAGTTTTATAAGCACCATTTCGCGATTGGAATAAGTGAAATCCATTCAGTGATAACCCATTCCTCCTGTGTGGTTAGCAATTGGTTAAGAGCCATTTTTACATTTGAGTTCTTCAGACCACTAGCTTCAATTCTGAGGCTAATTTGGATTTTAATGCAGACACTATGTTTTGGTTTTCTTTGGACTGTTTAAACTCTTTCTCCAAACTGTTTTTTAAAATGGAATGTTGTTTGCATATATTGTAGGTAAATGAAACTGCAAGTCTCTGTAGGGTTTGTGACTCATAGTACTGTTTGCTTTAGAACTGTACTAATTCTTTGCCTTTTTTGCATGATTATGCTGTAATTCAAGTTACTCCCTACTTATGAGCTTGCTGTAATGTCTGTTTTTATGGCAAACAGTGAAACTGATCAGAGATCATTAAAGTAACTTGTGGGTTAACCAAAGATGGGGAGGATGGGTGGGGGGGAAGGTGAATGTCTGGGGGAGCAGAATTTCCAAAAGGTGAACTGTCACATTTCATTACCTCTTGTCAATCTGGTGGCAAAAAATTAATAGTTTGTTCCTTGTGTGCTAGAATATTATGGTGCCATCCATAATTTTTTTAAAATAACTTTTTCTGGAAAACTAAACAAATCTGTAATTAAATTAATGTTTCCTTCAGTGTGATGACTCATTGTTCTTCTGATAAAGATTGTCTTAATTTATGCTAACCTGTATGCGCAATTTAACAGGTAATTCATACAAGAGAATGTTATCCATTTCCTTATTTGTGGCTAATTTAAAGTTGGGTTTGAAGTATGAAGGGCTTAAGATCTAGATTTACTTGGGATTTCGCTACAGTTGCTGTACAGGGACACTAAGGTTATCAGGCCAAAAACTGAATTGAACAATATCTTCCTCTTCTGTCTTTTCATCACCCTTCTGAGATGAGAATTGTGTACTATGCTGTACTTAAATTAGGTGGGTGAACCATTTAATACATTTAGGATGCTGTGTGGGTAATTACCTATGCACATGAGGCCATCCTTCTACTCTGCATTCTTTCTCAATTATGAGAGCTCCAATTGCTTGTATATTTCAGTACTGTTCCTGCTTCCTAGGATGGAACAGAGAACATGCCTGCAACTGCAAGCCAAAACAAAGGTAGCAGAAGTCTAATCCTAGGCCTACAATCTTGGATACCATTTCTTATGAATGTTTGCTTCTCTGAAGGGCTTCATGAGAGCTTGAATAGTATGAAATAGAAATCCGTTATTATTTCCCCATAATCTGGGAAATAGTATTCCAAACAGAATTTTCCCAGTAAAAGTTAATGCATACTGAAATGAATTATTTTTCCATTGGGAAGATACTATACTACAGATGTTTCTGCACAGTGTGTTTGTTTGTAGCAGTTTGACTTCTATGCTGAATCTGTTTAAGTAGTTTCTTTTGAAACATAACTGAACAGACCTTGATTTGGCAATTTTATGTTAGAGGGGCATACTGGATAGTGACAAGCATTATATTTTTACTTTAAAAAAAATCACTTAGCAAATGTAAGAAAACAGAATTAACATCGTCACATTCCTGAAATCTAAAAAGATGGTGATTTAAGAGCATGATCTAGTCCCCAATAAATCTTTCCCTTGGCATTAGAGGGAGTTGGATCAAAGCCTAAAATCTATTTAAAAACTTGGATTAACTTTTAGAAAGTTTGTCCAAAATAAAATCCACCAGGATTTCTTAAACTTGAATTACCATCATATTTTAAGAGTTTAAATAAGTCAGAAAGACTTGTGTTGTCCAATATGTTGAAACTTGTTTTGATCTTTTTGTTGGAGGTTGAGGAAAGAAACGGATTCATGGTGTTTAAAAAAATTACTTCAAATTTTTAAAAATTCGTTTTCTTTAAAAATTTGTTTTCTTTAAAAACAGTATTGGTGTCAAAGGGGAAAATTGCTCTTATTAATTCTGAAAGCTCTATAGTGAGCAAATAAGCCTTTATATATTGGAAATTTGAACAAACCTAAATGTCTATAAGGTTGAATTAATATTTGGATTACTGTTTTGTGCCATTGATATCTTAAAAATGAGTTAAACTTAATGTATCAAGCTCAATTTAAGTTTTGCAATATTTGAAGGATTGCCAATAAGCATTTAATAGCAACATTAAATGACAGTAATAACTGCTGAATTTATCAACAAATGGTCCGGTAACACTTTATAGACTAACAAAACATGTAGATGGTATCATGAGCTTTCATGGGAAGTGGGCTCTGCCCATGAAAGATAATGATTCCATCTACATGTTTTGTTAGTCTGTACAGAAAAAAAACAAACAAACAAATGATCTGGTAGCACTTTATAGACTAACTCGGCTACCCCCTGAAGCTGCTGAATTTGTCACTATCATTTTCCTTTTCTCATTTCCCTTCAGAAAATTCTGAAGGTATGGAATAAATATTATGGAGTAGTTTGGCATTGCTGCTTGTGCAAGTGCTCATCCAGTTTGTACGACTAGAATGAGTATATTCCAGTGCACATTTGGTTCAACATGCCTGAAATAAACAAGTCAATAAGTTTCAAGGGGCTACCCAATGAATAAAAGGTTGTGTACATTTATAAGTATTTTGGAATTGCAATTTCTGAAAAGCCAATCATTGGTGCCAGACCACTTACTAATTAGCAACATTGGCTCTTGATTGGAATTCCAAGGTCTCTGGTAGCACAGATGACTAGCATAGTCCATCCAGCACATTCCAGGTCTGTTCCTGTATTGTGTCACTGATGTGCTTAGCCTCCAAGTTTCTGTCTTCATGCTGGATAATGCATCCCTCTCAGCTGGAACAATGTACCATTATAGAAATGAATGGAACTGCTAACTCAGTTTACATACGCACATCTCAGATTAGTTTTGTACAATTAAAATAGAGTTGCCAATGTCCCAGTCCTTCTCTCAGTAGTTGGCATCCATGTAAAGTATGGTTACATATGAAGAACACAGTTCATTTTGATGCTGACAGTTTCGGCAATATTGAATAACATGACCTTTTGTCGAGAAAACTATACCTGCATCGACACGACTGCTGCATTCTGTCGACACAAAGTCGACAGAACGCGGCAGTTTTGTCGACGGCGGTAAACCTCATTCTTCGAGGAATATCACCTTTTGTCGACAGAGCTATGTCAAAAAAGGTGCTATTGCATCCACATTGTGATTTTTAAAAGAGAGCATCTAGACTCTGTCTAAAAAGCGGCTTGCTTTGTCGACAACTGGCTGTAGTCTAGACGCTCTTTTTCGAAAGCCTCTGTCACGTACCCAGATGTCTGTATGCATTCTCACTCTTTAACGCTTTGGGGCCAAAATGTACACCCTTAAGTTTATTTAAATTTGTCATCAATTTATGTACAGTAAGATAATCAGAACTTTGGCCTCAAACATTGTTGCTTAATACATCTATGTTCAGATCCTTCACCTGGATCTATGTGAATTTGCACCTTTCTAACTGATTTTAAAAACAGTTCCAGTTAGGGGGGTGGGGGTGTGTGTGTGTGTGTCTAGAGTTGTGGTTTTTCAAACTCTGGGTCGCGACCATTACTGGGCCGTGGAATGTCAGGACCTGGGTCTCATTGCTGCTGGAGATCCATGAGTGCTAAGGCAAACTTCCTGCCTGTCTTGGCACTGCAGACTGTGCTGCACCCCCGAACTGGCCAGCAGTCAGCCCAGTTCCTGGGGAGGGTGGGCTGGGAAAAGCACACAGAGATCCACACACTGTCCCTGCCGTGAGCTCTATCTCCTGTACTCCCATTGGCTGGGAATCTGCTGCTGACTGCTTCTGGAGCACACCAGGACAGGCAGGAAGTCTGCTGCACCACTGACCTGGAGATGCTTGAAGTAAGCCCTCCTGCCCCAGCCTTGATTTTTTTTCCCCCCACCCTACAGCCAAAACTCTCAGACTTGGCCCCACCCTGGAGCTTCCACTTTGTTGGGTTGCAGGCATCAACAATTACCTTCAACTGGGTCATGAGACGAAAGTTTGAAAATCCTGAAGGTCCTTCTTTCTGTGTGTGAAGAGAAAAATAATTGGACTTCTTTTGCAGAAGTAGTGTCCAAACGACCTTCCTTTGTTTGAATATTAAGCCAGTCTTAACTTTGTATCAGCAATAAGTGTGTGTGTGTGTGTGTGTGTGTGTGTGTGTGTGTGTGCTTAAACTGAAGAAAAATAATGCCGTCGTTTCTAGGGTGAATAATGGCAATTATTCAAAAAGCGCCCAGTGAGAGAGGAGGGAGAATTATCTGATCTAATGAAACCAGAGCGCAAAACAAAAAATCAGGGAG